AGATGTGTGGATGGACAAACGCGAAGGAAAAAGGACTTTTTTCTCCAGATGGAATAGAAATATCACCAACGGAAATTGATGGCCTGCGTACACCTAAAATGTAACCGGACTTGAGTAATTATTTAGCTTGGACCTAACTGCATGGGAGTCATAGGACCAGCTCATTTTGTTTGGAATTGACCGTTTTTACCGTGACAGAAGCCGCCGCGGGCAGACAGCAGTCGTCAAGAGTAAGTGACAACACTTATCTAGCTTTTGCCTTTACATGGCAAAAAAAATCTCCTTACGCTGTCGTAATCTGGGCTCGTGCATCAAGAGGATTTAGCTCAAAAGGAAGTTTTCGAACGCTGTAGTTACAACAGTAGTGAAGGGGCGAAAAGTTGTCTAGTATGTATTTTATGCTTAAATTCTGCAAACGGACCAAAGTTGTGTATGACTATAGTTTAACTTTTTCACCCTCTAACAACGCTCACATCTACCGTTGTGTTTGGTCACTGATGTCAAGGTTTATGTTCGCAGAGATGTGAAAACACGTCAGACAGTTGTATTTGGAGATAATAATGGTTTACTTACCGCTGTGTCTTTGGCGTTTTTCCTCGTCTTCTTTCTTTCTTTGTCTTTTAAAAAATCCTGAAGGGTATGATCGCTTCATGATATTTTAAAATTTAAATGCCCGCGTAGCGCTTGTGACGCTTTCGCTTCCAATGACAGCTAGTGGGGGACCTCATGGGGGGAGCGCGACGGTGGATGTCACTTCAACATTACAGTGATTAGAGCGCTCACAGTGTTGGTCGTTGCATAGGGGGAATCCCTCTAGTTTGGGGGGCCCCTCTCACGGAGCAGTACTGGAAAGTGATAGCGCTGTCTCATTGCGGTGGTTTATTTACGGTGGTTGATACTGTTTGACGAGCACAGATACACAACCTAAACTTCCGTGCGGCCATCGGGGGCCCCCTTCAGCTGGGGGCCCTAGGCAGCTGCCTACCTTGCCTACCCCATTGCGACGGCTCTGGTCTGGGGATAGTCCTGCGCTCCACAGACAGGCTGCAGCCAAGCGACAGCAGCGGTGAGAGGAGCCAGCTGACGTCGGACGAGGAAGCGGTGGAAGCAGGATTCATATTCACGAGGAATACTCTCTGGACACCACAACAGTTCCGGTGAAAGTACCAGCCAGGACTTCAGCCTGACTAGGCGGCCACTGCGCACTCCGCGCCGCCTGCGTTTCTTGCAGGGACGTGCAGTCAGGGGAGGCAGGGGAGGCAGAGCCTCACCTGCCATTATTGGAAACTAATAATTATTTTAGTTTAAATATATAATTTATATCCACTGTCCTATGCTTTTAATGTATATTCGGCACGGTTCCCATCAGTTTTGATCATTTCTGAAGTCAAAATCGCCGAAATCCCGTTATTCCTATTCAAAGAGACGAGGTGAGGCAGCGCTCCTGCGTGCCTCACCCCAGACCGCTCCCTCACAGTGTGTGTGTGTGTGTCTGAGTGCACTCAGCTCGTGCAGTTGATATATCACCGTTTGTTTCAAATATCCTGCTTTAAAAACATTTTTTAAACTCCTCTTAGTGTTTAGTAGTGTATTGCACGTATGTGTGTACAATTTATATTTAGTTTAAGTCTTTTGATCGTAGATGAACACACAAGGAAAAAGCTTGGCGTGAGGCAGGCGGTATCTGTGCCTCACCGCTAGGGGTGATAGTGAGCAAAAAGTTCATACCAGAGTTGCTAACAAACAATCAGCCCAAAATGCTATTTCTTTTGCTGGAAAATGGATGATTTGAATGAAGATTTTTTTTCTCAATTGGACTTTCAAACAAAGAAAGAATTAATATAGACTGGGAGACCACCACTGGACTTACGAGGTTAGTCCGGCTGCGGGGGAGGAGTTTGTTAATCTGTGTTTTATGTTGAACATTGACAGATACCGGCAAAGTAGTGCTTTTCCGAAAAACACTGATTCAAACACTGCTCAAGAGTTCTGCAACTTGTTTAAATTATTGTTTATGTTCCTCGCGTCTCTCTCTCCTCGCGTCTCCGTCTCTCTCTGCTCCTCGCGTCTCCGTCTCTCTGCTCCTCTCTGTCTCTCTCTGCTCCTCTCTCCTCGCGTCTCTCTCTCCTCGCGTCTCCGTCTCTCTCTGCTCCTCGCGTCTCCCTCTCTCTGCTCCTCTCTGTCTCTCTCTGCTCCTCTCTCCTCGCGTCTCTCTCTCCTCGCGTCTCTCGCACCTGCGCTTCTTAAAGATGTTGTTTGATGCGGAGCAGAGTCAGCAGCTAGATTTGTTGTGAGATTATTAAAAGAAGCTGGTTCTCTTATCTTTACAGTATATAAAGTTTGTGGATGTCATTGCATTGGTGATTAAATGCTATTTTATTTGAATAATGATTGTAAATCTGACTTTTAAAGTCAGTGCCTCCCCAATCACAAACCTCACCGCACGTCCCTGGTTTCTTGGGCAGCAGGGCCTGAACCCTATAGGAGGTAATCCGGGTACATCTGACAGGTAGGGTGGGCGCGAGTTGTTTGAGCCATCAAAATTATAATCCGCTCGAATTTCTACTATTGTTTTGATAGTTAGCAGCTCGTGACGTTCATATACAGTGCCTTGCGAAAGTATTCGGCCCCCTTGAACCTTTCAACATTTCGCCACATTTCAGGCTTCAAACATAAATATATAAAATTTAAAAAAATTGTCATGAATCAACAACAAGTGGGACACAATCGTGAAGTGGAACGAAATTTGTTGGATAATTAAAACTTTTTTAACAAATAAAAAACTGAAATGTGGGGCGTGCAATATTATTCGGCCCCTTTACTTTCAGTGCAGCAAACTCAGTCCAGAAGTTCAGTGAGGATCTTTGAATGATCCAATGTTGTCCTAAATGACTGATGATGATAAATAGAATGCACCTGTGTGTAATCAAGTCTCCGTATAAATGCACCTGCTCTTTGATAGTCTCAGGGTTCTGTTTAAAGCGCAGAGAGAACCATGAAGACAAAGGAACACACCAGGCAGGTCCGAGATACTGTTGTGGAGAAGTTTAAAGCCGGATTTGGATACAAAAAGATTTCCCAAGCTTTAAACATCTCAAGGAGCACTGTGCAAGCAATTATATTGAAATGGAAGGAGTATCAGACCACTGCAAATCCTTCATGGTTCTCTCTGCTCTTTAAACAGAACCCTGAGACTATCTAAGAGCAGGTGCATTTATACGGAGACTTGATTACACACAGGTGCATTCTATTTATCATCATCAGTCATTTAGGACAACATTGGATCATTCAAAGATCCTCACTGAACTTCTGGAGTGAGTTTGCTGCACTGAAAGTAAAGGGGCCGAATAATATTGCACGCCCCACTTTTCAGTTTTTTATTTTTTTTTAAAGTTTAAATTATCCAATAAATTTCGTTCCACTTCACGATTGTGTCCCACTTGTTGTTGATTCATGACAAAAAATAACATTTTTATATCTTTATGTTTGAAGACTGAAATGTGGCAAAATGTTGAAAGGTTCAAGGGGGCCGAATACTTTTGCAAGGCACTGTACCAGCAGAAAGTGTGTGATCCGTACAAAACAACATAAAAGCATCATTAAACTGGCAAACATATGAAGAGCAAAGTGGCGTACCAGGCACCCCGGCGCCATCTTTCATCCATCCATCTATCCATCATCTTCCCCTTAATCCATTTCTGGGTCGGGGGGGTGGCAGTCATAGCTGCACCCAGTACACATAGCACCAGCCCTTCACTGATCCTCCTGCAGGTGGTGAGTCCACAGGAGCCTTGATATTTTAGCGGGGGCTTCAGGCAAAGTGCCAAGTGTCTTTCCCAAGGACACATCGACAGCAGACATCAGTGGGAGTCATTATAGACAGTTTAAGATTAAAGTACACACGGTGAGAATTGTCTCATCTGCATTTGACAGAAGTTTAATACCACCGGAGCAACTTACTTACTCCAAATTGAAAAAAAGTAAGTAACATAATTTTATGTGGGGTGTTTATTTAACCTTTTTTCAGTTAAAAACTTCAGGGGACAAGGAGATTAAAATACCCACAAAATCGGCAATTTAGTTTCGACTGAGATCCATGGGGAAAAACTGTGTACAGCTCAGGTGAATTTAAGATGAGTTCTGCGGGTGGCCCCTTGTCCACCTTCAAACAAGGTCAGAAATCTAGGGGTAATACTGGACTCAGACTTAAATTTTAATAGCCACATCAAATCAGTAACATCAGCAGCTTTTTACCATCTAAAAAACATTGCCAGGATCAAAAACATAGTGTCTAAAGCAGACCTGGAGATTCTTATCCATTTGTCTCCAGTAGGTTAGACTACTGCAATGGCCTGCTCACAGGTCTGTCTAAACAGGCAGTAAAACAGCTGCAGTACATTCAAAATGCAGCAGCTCGAGTCCTGACTAGAACCAGGAAGTATGACCATATTAGTCCGGTCCTCAGGTCTCTGCACTGGCTTCCTGTGGCTCAGAGTATAGACTTTAAAACAGCTCTGCTTGTGTACAAGTCTCTCCATGGCCTAGCACCAAAATATATTAGTGACATGTTAGTACCATATGAACCAGCCCGGACTCTGAGGAGCACAGGGACTGGACTCCTGTTAGTGCCCAGAGTCAGAACTAAACATGGGGAGGCTGCTTTTCAGATTCATGCTGCTAAAATCTGGAACAATCTTCCTGAAGATGTGAGACATGCCTCCTCAATGACAATGTTTAAAACCAGGTTAAAGACAGTTCTGTTTAGCTGTGCATACAACTGAGGGATTTTATACTTTTAGCTTTCTTTTTAATGTTCTGTGATTATTTATTATTTTAATGATTTCTTGTTTTGTTCAGCACTTTGAATTGCCTTGTGTATGAATTGTGCTATATAAATAAACTTGCCTTGCCTTGCCTTGCCTCCTGCTGAAGACAGGTTTAAGCAGCAATACCCTATCCAGACAACATAATACATCTATAGTGAAAAGTACAACTCTTACTTGCGAATCCTCATGGCCTCTTCATTGTCCGGTTTAAAAAATTCAAAGTTCTTGTAGGTTTTCACTGCCTGCCTGCGGTACTGACCCACGTTAAACACTGGGGGAGAAAAGACAAGGTCAAAATGTGCCTTTGCTTTAATGTTTTATTTTATAAGTCGGAAAACATACCTCTTGTAGGGACTCCAATCCAGTTGAGGTATCGCGTGAGTTTCTTGGAGATGTAGGTCTTCCCTCTGGCCGGCAGTCCCACCATCACAATCATCGTCGGGGAGTTACAGAACTGAGGCACTGCGGCTGAAATCAAAACCACTATTGTTGGTTTTTACTAACACCATGCTCCTACCCTAACCCAAAGAAGGACATGCATGTTCAATCTGGAGAGACTCAACAAACAAAAAAAGTTATTAGAACAAGGTTAGCATGGTTAGCAAAGTGAACTGCATGATTGTATGCAATGATTGTATGTTCTTTGCTGTATATGAAATCAAGTTATAATTTGGAGCTCGGACCCCGGCAGAGCACTGCATGACAATTGTAAAGGGGGAAATCAATAGAGATTATTAGATGAAATTCTCCAAAGCCTTAACCTTGGTGGTAGTAGTCAAGGAGAGGGGCTGAAGAGATGGTCCGGCTGATGAGCCGGTTCAGGGAGGAGGAGGGTTGTTGCATATATGAAAGAGTTAGGGCAGTGTTTAAATGCAGCCAGGTGAGATATGATTTCCAGCTGAGTGTAAAAATGGTTTCCAGTCTTCCAATCTGAACTTTTACTTTAGCATATAGCTATTTATGGAATTCCACACAACCAGCTCCATTGGAAATCTTTTAAATCTAATCTTATTAAACTTGTAATAACACAATTCCATTACATTTTACACAGTATTTTCCAGTATAGTGTATTTTTTTTCTGACGAGGGATGTAACAAGTCAATTAATAAATGAGATCTCATTCAATAATCAAACAGTATGTTTTTGACTCAAACAGAGCAGTAATTAATCAATAAAGATAAACATCCAAAATAGATGTATTTTATCAAACTTTTGCTCCACTCATTACTCAATGATGTCCTCCTTTCTACTTCCTTTAGCTCCAGCACAGGTTGTGCAGCAGGTGTTACGTGACTTAATCTGCATTAAGTCGGAAACACAAGACACATGTGGAGCTCCAGTGACGTGTGTCACCTGCTTGTTCCTCTTTCTGAGCTCTGACCTTATTTCACCACAACACACCAGGACTAGCCTGCTGCTGCCCAACTTTAGCCCCACCTACATAATACTTTTCCGCCCACATACTTTTCATGACAGCCACATATACGCTCCACATATAGCATTAATCGTTCACTCCATACACAGTTAGAGCTGCAACTAACGATTATTTTGTAATCGATTAATCTATCGATTATTTTTAAGATTAATCGAGTAATCGCTTGGCTGTGAATTGTGTAGAAAAAAAATATTTTTTCATCACAAAAAACTAAAGTGGCAACACTCGAGGACGTATTGATGGCCTAAACTTAAAGTAAATGTTTGTAACAGGCTCTTTGTGCTAATTCTGCTATCTGATTGGATGAGACAGACAGATATTCATGAAATTATAAAAACAAAGTCGGTTTTAATCAAAAATACTACATTTTCATGTCATTTTTGCTCTGTTTGAGTCCATGTGAACCAGAAAACGATTAATCGATTACTAAAATAGTTGTCGACTATTTCAATAATCGATTAGTCGTCGATTAAACGATTAGTTGTTTCAGCCCTATACACAGTGGTAATAAACTACAACTGTAGCCACAGATGCCCAGGGGCAACCCGTCTGAGCCTCTGACCACTGCTAATAATTCACCCACATCTTGCACTCTAAGGACGCTCCCTCAGATTGGCACTTTACAGCCACATCCGCCACACATGATAAATGATTATCCAAAATGTGTTAATATCTTTATCAAAGAGTTACTGCTCAGACTGTATTTTACAGCTTCAGTTGATAATCAATAGTCGTCATTATTAAAAATACCAAGTGACCATTTAAAATGTATAATAATGAAAATGCCTATGTACTAAGATGTTTGATCTGGAGTCGTAATTTTAATGTAGTAAATGTTCACAGAAACAAGCTTGGTTTCACCAAAAGCCTTGAATCCACGACAGTGAAAGTCAAATGACAATTGAAACGTTAAAAGCTCCACTTCTCCACTCACTGTAATTGTAATCAGATATCTGTAATGTCTTATTTGTTACATTGTGGTTTTGGATTTGTTAGTTTTGGTATACTTATAGTTGAAATCAGTAACAGTCTGTCCAAGTGATGTGTCAGACCCTGTTTGATGAATGATTTGGCCTCAGTAGAGTTCAGGACACAGTGCCCTGGACACCCTCTCCCCCTCCTAAATTCAATGACCACTTACATAACTCTCCACCAATAACCCACTTATGAAATATAAATGTACAGCTTACATTACAGTCATGCTCTTTAGCGCAACTAATAAGTGTTGCCTTTGTCAACATCGTATTAAATTGTATGTGAATGTTTTTATTCGCTCTTCATAAAAAACAACAACAACAAGGGACCAAAGAAAACTTAGCTCTGCACGAAATGACCAGCATCTGAAAATAAACTCAGTTCTAGCGTGTCTCTTCTAATGGCTCACCAACCATCCAAACAGAATCATCTATGCATTTGGGTCACGACAGTGTGAATGGGGCTTTAGTGAAGAGCTCACAGGAGTAGCTCAGAGTAAAGATTATCATCTCTGAGGCCTTCAGGTATTCCTGGTCTTCTGAGCAAGTTCTACTATGTGGAGAGAGACGTTATAGGGCATCTCTGCCTGCAGATCCTGCAACCACATATCACCCCCGGATAAAGCAAGTTTTTGTCGTGTTTTGTATTTGGGTACTTCAACTTTTGGTTTACAAGATCTATAATCTTTTATATTAAAGTTCTAATTAGAACTCCAAATGTTTCTCTCTTTGGGTGGTACATCCTACAATTAAAAGATACACCCCCAATAGCCTGATAACAACTAATAAAACAATGATTTTGTCTGGCGTTTATTGAATGCATTCATTCTGGCATGAGTTTAGGTATTTGACTAATGACTTTAACTATGGCCCATTTAGGCTATTCTCTTTTTTTTCTTCTAAAGTGCACTATCCTGACATGACAAAATGCACTCACACGCGCGTCTTCGGTTCGGATCGCAGTTCTCATATGGGACCCAGATCTTGAGCAGCGGTGTCTGCGTGAGCCCGTTATGCTCCCGCTCTCCGCTGGCGTTAATGACCACAGCGGCCATGGTCAAGTGCAGAGCAGAAAGTCCCTGAGCCGTGCTCTGCTCCTCTCCTTGCCTGCGGAAAAAGTAAACTGTGCTCATCTGCAGCTGCTGCAGCCCCACGGGACTGACATGGAAAGGGCGCACTTTCACCATGAGACTGCAGGGGGAGCCAGAGGACATACGGCAAACTGTCTAAGGTCTATCTAGATAAGTAATGTAAGTTATGCTTCATAGTCTCTGTGGGAAATGCATCCTCTGCATTTGACCCATCCTATAATGCCACTTGGTCCTCTGTCAGGGTATGCAGTGCGGTGCCTGGGACACTTTTCCAGATGTTATGTTCTGCTTAGTCAAAACTGGAGCTGGATGGTTTTGCTATAACTATTATACATGTGGTAGGGAAAAACAGAGCACCAGGAAGAAATCTACGGAGACAGAGAAAACATGCAAACTCCACTCAGAAAGGCTCTATTCAAGTCAAGTGTGCTAGGATGTAAAACAGGTCTAATTAAAGATGAGGTACCTAACCTTAAATCTGGGTTTAACTTCAACCCAACATGTGATCAAAATATGGATTTCATTGGAATTGCATGTTACAGAATCCACACATTTCATTCAATTTAAACAGTGTGCAAATAACTCAACTTATACAGAGTTGAGACAGAGCTGGCCCAGTCTGACTCATCCACACTACTGTATAACATTGAGAGCTGCTGACAGCATTATCTTCAGAGGGAAATGGGAAAGAAGACAAACATTAATATCCGCTGGGCCAAAGTTTATTCCTCACAATAAGTGAATGCACCACTTTTTGCAACTTAGTATAAAACTTGAGCTCTGTTTGCTCTGATAAATTGCACAATTGGCCTTGCAGGTTTGTGTCCAAATATAGAAAGCAACTCATCAAATCTCCAAGGCTGCCATGGCAAATGTCATCAGTTCAGACTATTTATACACACATAGTTCACGAGGGAAATGCTCTGTACAACAAGTAATCCCAGTGAAATCAGAGCACTTTATTACACTGCAAAAAAGTGAGCTGTTGGACTCTGTCTATGTCTTATTTTATCTTTTCTTTTACTAATCTGATAGGAAGTAGTATACAATCTCTTGTTCTAGATAAAATACCAAGACCAGCAATTTTTTAATGAAATGAAGGTATTGCTTTTGTGCAATTAAAATAAGACTAACATAATAATAATAAGAAGAAGAAGAAGAAGAAAAAGAATGTAAAACTCATTTAAAAAAACAATTCAAATATTCTCAAGTCAAGATAAATACTGCATAACAGATTGCAACAAGAACAAAATCACACGTGCATGGTCATGGTATAGAGAATCCAAAGGACTGCCAGTATTGTGCTAACGACAACATATCTTGCAACATTTTGCTCATAAAATAGAAAAAGCAAAAGAAAGGTTTTTCACCCATCATTTCCTTCCTTTGCTTTGACTAATCCCTGAACGACTGAGAGCTTACACAAACTTAATAAAATAGAAAGTTATAATCCTCTGTAATAAATAAATAAATAAATAAAGTGAAATTCAATTGGTTTCTGGCGTGTGTGTGAATGGTTGGTGGTGGTCGGAGGAGCCGATGGCACGTACTGGTTGCCTCGCTTCTGTCAGTGTGCCCCAGGGCAGCTGTGGCTACAGTTGTAGTTTATATACAGTAGTGAATGAAAAATGACATGGAAAGCATCTTTGAGTGACCAAAAAAGCGCTTTATAAACCAATGCATTATTATTATCATTTTATATTTCAGCCTCCAAATGGAAGGTTTTTGGAAATGTTTTCTATTAGGTGATCCCAATAGTAATCACAAAGTTTCTTATATCCTGGCTGCGCTGTAAATACAGGTGAAGTTAGTATGCTAACTTCACCTGTACTCTCTAGTAACTCTCTAATCACATTTATATTGTTGGAATTCAGGTTTTTTTCTCCTGGGTTTAAGTATTTTTTTTATTTTAAGTATTTTTTTTAGCGATGTATCCATTTGTTTATGTCACCTGGATGTTTGAGGATGTACAAATTTCTATTGTGCCAAAATGAATATAAAAGAACTATATTAGAAAATGTATTTTGTTAGCAATATGTAAGATTTTCATGTCAAGTCTTTGTTAAATTATTTGCCCTTATAAGGCATTAATAAACCATGCTCTGTTCAAATACTTGATAACTGATAACAGTAGTTCAGCCGAGATATTTGAATTTCAAAATTTGTTTTAAAGCCTGTAAATTGTTTTCATTTTGATGTCACCAGAACTCACCGCGTCGAGCCATTGTCACTGGTAAAGTAACATGTGGTTGCAGAACTAAAAAAGGTCTCGTTATGATTTTCAAAGCATCAAACAGCAAAACAAGGAATTAAACGAGGATTTCTTTCAGAGCCTTTGTGAAGAAAGTGTTAGTTATAAATTTGTTGTTGACAAAAATATTATCTTAAGCTATTATGGTCCCAGCTGGATTCGTCTGCATATCTGGCAACCGGAGTCGGGGAGAGATGGAGAGGTTGCAGTACCACTTTTGACCAGATTTGTACATATTACTCCTTTAAAGAATATGTGTTTAAATATGAGTATTAGACATATCAAAGTACAATATTCTGTTTCCTTTTAGCAATAACATCTTCTGAATTTGCATAAAAGTCTGAATCCACATCTACTGACTTAAGTTATAAATATTTGCAGTGTGCTGTTGATATCCAGGCAGCGTTCGGTCGTCACGCTCCGAGGACTCACCTAAACTATCACATCTGTGACGCCGCCACTGCTCCGGCTGCAGAGGTTCCATTTCGGCTCCAGTGTATGCGCGAAACACGGCTTTTACACAACGTGAGCGCAAAACAGAGATAAACACAGCGATTACAGGCCGTGCAGATCCCCCGTCTCGACCCACCCCTCTCTCCCCTCACACATGCCTCTATCTGCACTGGGACATATGAGACCGCAGCACCCGGCCTGTCCTTTAATGTTTGCCAGAGTTCACTACCACAGGCAGTATGCAGTCTGAAGGTCACTGTGGCGTCATCATATTTATGTTTAAGTCTATACAATTAGAATAATCAATTTAGTTGAATCATTTGAGCAGTTTGACACACATCTACAGACACACCTGTATGGGCCTGGGCTAGGGTCAAGAGTGTTGAATATCAAATCGGGATTGTATCAATAGTGACAAAATCCCATTAGCCGTAAAGTGGGAGTCTTTGAGCAGTAGTATAACATTTACAGTTTTCACATGAGCCTAAATTGCAGTTATTTTGCAGACATTAATGTATTGATTGAATCATCATAGAGACCAGCTTATATCAGGACTGAGGCTTTATAATCAGGACTAAGAGGCTCCCGGGAGTGGGTGCACTCCAAGTGTCCTGGCCAGACAATGAGACAGCAGATGAATAGCAATGAACGGACAACAGGTGAAGTCATAAAGGTGACAGATAAAGAAGGAGAGGATAGTGCTCAGGTCACATACAAGGTGTTTCCATTTGCAGCCTGACTAAATCTATGTCTTGCCTGTATCGGCCAGTACAGGCTCAGTGTAGAAAACAAACACTTACACTTTTTGACAGGGACAGAAACTTGAACACTGGATTAAGAAAAACAACCTTTAACCCTAAAAGCAACACCCTGTAACTTCCTGGAGGTGGTACGTCACCTGCATGGTTCAACTCGTGAAGCAACTGAGGAATCCTCGTCATCAACATAGACCAGTCATAGTTCTAGTTTGTTTTATGTGCAATAAACTCATCAAGAATTAAACAATCTTTTAAATCACATTCTTTTGGCTTGAAAAGTTAAAGATGTCCTTTGCATTGTTTTGCACGAACAGCCCACTTCAGACCAGGGCTGTTTGATCAACATGAGCTGACCTATTCTACTGTTCATGATCGGAAAGCTCTGCTCTGTAAAACTACAATCTATGATATCTTCACACTAATATAAACTTCATGTGTGATGCACTGGGAGCAGTGAAAGGCGGTTCAAAGGGTGTTTTTCGTTCAAACCAAATGTTCCAATGCCTTTTATGTGATTATTCCCAACATATTTGGACAGGGGCAAAATAAACCTCCTCAAACACAACACACAAAGTGGCTTTAACACAATGTTACACACAATATTAAAAAATATGCACAAATGTAACTTTATTTTTTTAATGATCTTAACCCTGTGTGACATGTGTGTCAATGCTGAGGGGAGTGACATTTTTTGGACCAAACTCTAGTTTACTCGCTGTGAATTTTTGATGTCACTCGTTTAAATGAATGGAGCTCGCACCGGCTGACGTATGTGCAGATCGGTTTTTTCACATTTTCCAGCCCCCGCGGCCATTTTGAATCACTCCATGAGAGTCCAATTTTTGGCCCATTAGTTAGAACGGCGGAGATAGGAGTGACTACGTCCGTTAATATATACAGTCTATGGTACGTACCACAGACAAACTGAAGCTAGTTTTGGAAAGGCTGGAATGTGTACTTCACAGAGAAAAAAAAAGTAAGTCGCTACCTTTAAAAAAAAGGTAGCGACTTTTAAAACATGTGCAAACCATCGTCGGCGGTGGCATCGCCTTTTATGGAGAAACAAAGGTGGTGGCGGCGTTGACATATATGTGCAAAATAATTTACAGTTCAAAGTAATAGAGAGGATGACAACTGCGGTTGACAATCTATTGGAATGTGTAACAATTGAATTGAAGAATGTGATTGTTAGCTGCATATACAGGGCACAAGGTACAGATATTGACAGGTTTGGAGAATGGATGGAGCACCTGTTTTTGAAAACTAACAACAAAGTGGTCTACATATGTTATGATTTTAACATTGATATTTGAAATCCATATAAGCACAAAGCAACTGATGAGTTCATTAACACGATGTACAGTCTGAGTCTGTTTCCAAGAATCACAAGACCCACCAGAATCATATTCAATTCTGCCACTCTGATAGACAACTACAGTAATGACATTGAAAACAAAACAACAAGTGGCATACTGGTTAATGACATCTGTGATCATCTACCAGTTTTCATTGTCGTTGATCATACCTACAGGAAAAAAGTAACAGACAAAAAAACCCAATATAGGCGGTTAAGGACAGAGAAGTCGGTAAACACACTCAAGAGTGAATTACTGGCACATAACTGGGAGACAGTCTATCAGGAAAACAATGTGGACAATGTATATGATTTATTTTTGAATGTATTTACACAATTGTATAATAAAAACTGTCCAAATTAGGAATATACAAAAAAAATACAGCAACTGTCCATGGATAACAAAAGGGTTACAAAACGCTTGCAATAAGAAGAATACTTTGTACAGAGAGTTCATAAGATTAAAAACCACTGAGGCTGAAAACAGATATAAAAGGTACAAAAAATAAGTTGACACATAATAAGAATGAGCAAGAAAGATTATTTCGGGAAAAGATTATATGGCAACATAAACAAAAATGAAAGGAGTGTGGGATATATTAAACAGTATTACAAGAAGTGGCTCGAAGAAAAATGAGTATCCTGAATACTTCATTGATAAAGACAATATATTTGAAAACATAAGTGATGTGGCGGATAAATTCAATAACTTTTTTGTGAATGTGGGGCCTGACCTGTCAAAAACATGCCTGATCCAGGGACAGTTGGTCAAAACATGGATGTGTTAATAGAAAGTTAACCCCACTCAATGTTTCTTAACAAAGTGGAAGAAAAGGAAATACTTGACATTGTTAAAAAGTGTCAAAACAAGAAATCTACTGACTATAATGACATTGACACTACTCTTGTGAAAGATGTGATTGAGGGAATTACTAAGCCGCTAACGCAATCTGTAACTTGTCATTTCACACTGGTGTCTTTCCAAACAGAATGAAAATAGCCAAGGTTATCCCATTGTACAAAGGCAGGAACAAACATCACTTCAACAACTCCAGACCTGTCTCCTTACTCCCACAATTTTCCAAAATATTAGAAAAACTCTTTAGTAATAGACTGGATACATTCATTACAAAACATAAAATGCTTTCTGACAGCCAGTATGGGTTTAGGTCTGAAAGATCAACAGCACTAGCGTTAACTGAAGCTATCGAAGATATTACAAATGCTCTTGAAAAAAAACAATATCCTGTTGGAATATTTATTGATATTAAAAAAGCTTTTGATACAATCAACCATGATTTGTTGATGAAAAAACTAGAAATATATGGTGTCAGAGGCATTGTGTTGAACTGGGTCGCAAGTTATTTAAAGAGCAGGCCGCAGTTTGTGAAGATGGGTGATGTTTGTTCAGCATGCTTGGACATTGCCTGTGGTGCACCCCAGGGGTCAGTGGTGGGCCCTAAATTGTTTATTTTGTATATCAATTATGTTTGTGTTGTCTGACAGAAACTGAAGCTGGTGCTGTTTGCTGATGAGCTTCTTAAAGAGGTTACTAATGAAATGAGTAAAGTTAAATTATAGTTTGACAGGAATAAATTATCACTTGATCTAATTAAAACAAAAATAATGTTTTATGGGAACAACCGATCTGAAGAGCAAGTACAACTAAGGTTAGATGGGGTGCAAATAGAAAGGGTTCATGAAAACAAGTTCCTCGGGATTACAATTGATGATCAAATCACCTGGAATGTATATGTGTGTATATATATTAGTATGATATTTGTTTTATAACTTATTTCAATAAATTGAATTAACATAGGGAAAAGGGGTAGGATTTAATAAGCTTTGGCTTCTTCCTGCTCCTTTTGAACGTGAATAAGTTTTTTTTTGTTTTTTTTTTGTTTTTGTTCTTACTGTCTTAAAAAAAAAAAAAGTATTCTATGTTCAAATAAACACAAATCGTTCAAAATAAATTAATGATTGAAAGAAATATTGCATCATAGACATCATGACCTTTTTTAATTGTAAAACTGTTAAGTGAAAGTAAGCCATTTCCGGCGAAGTCCACTGGTCTCGCCGCATTTCCTATGGATCCAAATCTCCGATCACTCTCAATTTCTCCAAGGATCTTGCCTCACAGATTACTCCAGTGTATCAATATACTTAACGCGGTCAGCGTCGGCCGAATTCGCGGCTTTGGTGACTAATGATCCGTGACTAATGATCCGTGACTAATGATCCGTGACTAATGATCCGTGCAAAATAAGCTTGACACACAACATGGCGTCCACGCAAAGCATCATGGGTAATGCGCATGTGATGGAAAACCATCAATTCAGCTCGTTTGCCCACAGCTGGTCTCCTGCGGACTGACTGGGGGTGTTGTGAAGCCTGACATGGATTTGAGGCCTCTCCACACACCTTGCACATCCTGCCAATTATCACTATCATTACAACAGAAATTCACCAATCACAGGCCCTGAAGCACATCAGTGGTTAGAAATGCAGTGGAAGGAGAGTGCTTACGGGAACAGGGAACAGTTGTTGAAGACTATTCTTATGATTAAGATAGAGGTCTGACCACATTTTATGACCAACATATGCAAATCTTTATTGTTTTTCTAGTTGGGAATGAATGGAAAGCATTTTGTAGGTTTTACATACATGCACATTTAAAGCAGACCAACTCACAACGTGCTAATGATATTCGGTAAGCTATTTGTTTCAAAAAGCTGATTGATCAAGAAAGTTGTGCAATGATTAAGGCGATGAAACGTTGACCTGCAAACAGTTGTTTGTTGGTTTATGTGGGATACATTTTGAAAAACACATTGGATTGGTGCTTTTCTTCCTGATGAACCATATTTTACAATGACTTCCAGATGTGCTGGGTTTGATGGATTTGGGGAGGGGCATTGTGGGTGGGTTAAATATCTTGGATTACATAAATGGGGCCAGCTCAGTCAAACCGTGACTTTAGAACACAAACGTTTACACAGTCCACCAGCAGAAACCAGACACAGAGGAACACTGGAAACACCAGGGAGGTAAGAGGAGCATTTTTCACATTTTTTACGCACCGCTGAAGAAAATGAACATGCTTTGTCGCAATGGAATGAGTTTAACGACTTGTACAGTATTTCTGCTGAGGTGTTTCCACTCACACATTTCTATTATTTTCCTTCCAACCAGGGTTTGACATGACCTATATTCAGGTTATTATCTAGATGAATGTATTTTTGACTATACACACAAATATATAATATCAAACACATTTCTGACTAGTTACACAACACTTGCATTTTAATACATCTTTACTCAAAAAGATTTTTTCTACTCACAGTGGCCTTGCTTGAAATACAAAATAATGTGTGTAAACGGTCAGAAACATCTTCAAACAAGTAAAATAATGAATTGGAGTCAAGTAAGTGACTGGTTTCAAGACCAAATAAAGAACATTAAAGAATGCATTTGCAAAGATAGAAAATCACATCTCATAATTTAAGGAAATAAATCCATCTTCTGAAATGCGTCTATAAATAAACACATCAACATCCCGGTATAAGTTTGTCATCTCAATCTTCACTAATGGGAGCAGTGTTTTGTTTTGTAAGGAGATTATTGCGACTTAATTTGAATGTGTTTTAGAAAATAATGTCCTGCCTCTGTGGATACGTGGTAAGACGTATAGCGGATAGTTTTGATAAGCTTTGGTTAACGCTCTACAAAACTCTCAAAGAATAGTAACTTATTATGTACAGTAGAACAAACTGCTTTCTACAAGGACTTTGACATGCTCTGATACCAGCTTAACCATGACTGTCCTCCGAAGTAATTAGTTACAAAGTCAAAATGCTAACTGAGGGTCGCATGAGGTTGAGTCTGAGTATATTTATCACGTGTTTGTGTTTGTGCAAAATATTTAAACATCGGAGCAAACCTATGGTACAGTATGGTATGTACTTTATTTGAACACCTCTTTACTTTGCACATCCAGCTTTGCTCCTGGAGAAATATAAGATACTGCTACAATTCAAACAGTGCCATCTTCTTACAGTATACGTTAACATTGACAGTAGAGAAAGTACAGTTTTGGGCTTGTAGAAAAGAGACAAAAACAGGAAAACTAGGAATCAAGAATTTGTGGAAAGTGTTATAGGTCATTGTTTTTATTTATTAATATCCACCCATCCATCTATTTTCTTCCCCTTAATCCATTTCTGGGACGGGGAGGTGGCAGTCAGTGATGCCACCCAGTACACATAGCACCGGCCCTTCACTGTTCCGCCTGCAGGTGGTGAGTCCACAGGAGCCTTGATTATTCAGCAGGGGCCATAGGCAAAGTGGCCCCTGCTAATTATTATTATTATTATTATTATTATTATTATTATTATTATTATTATTATCATTATTTATGAGACACACAAAGGGTTTATATAAAACATATATGGCTCAGTTGGTAGCGCGTTGGCCTTTGAGCGTTTGAGCCCTCTCTGAGACCTTCTCCACCGACTCACTGATGTCTGTTATTGTTCTTGGCCACTTAAGAGGATCAGTTGGTTGGTTGGTTGGTGCTCTGTGACCCAGAAATGGAATAAGGGGTAGAAAATCGATGGATTCATTGATATTTTTATGACCAAAATTAGTCCAGCTGCTTGGATTTAAACCAGACTCTTATTGGGGGCTGCCTTGACATTCAAATTGGATGTCCATCCAAAAAAGTTTTTTTGTTGGCTCTTACTGTCTCCCACTTCTGTGATCTAGAGAGTGCCACTCTTTCTATTCTTTAATCAAAACTTTTTTTTGGCGAAATCAACATAGAAATCATATTGGATACTCTTCTGATTCTATACTCTTCTGGTTCTATCACTATTTTTCAGATGTATGTATTTTTGGCCTCTGTCACAGCCCTCACTCAGCCAATCAGCGCTTGGTATGAGAGCTGAGAGTAAAAAAAAGAGTATAGGAGACATTGTTTCCACATTAAGTTTTCTCAAGCTTCATCAATGCTGATATCACTAATTTAGAGAAACCCATTCCCTCACAAAATGCTCCACGATGAATCTGTCTGATTCATTAGAGCTAACTGTGTTATTTATCACATTGTGTGACGTTCATCACAAAGATGAGCGTCACACAACCTTAGTGTGAAAAGGACTAAGGTTGTGTAACCATGGCAATATGTGCAGATTTTCTCTGCCTTGTGTTGGTGTTTTGTGATATCTATCTCCATATCAGAGTTAGAAACAATGTCTCAACAATACTTTTTTCCTTTTTTTTTTTTTGCTTTTGAATGTGCTGGAAATGACAGCAAGTCATAAGTAACGCTGCAATAATTCTTGTTTTGTGCTCTACAATTGTTATTATTCTTTCTTTTTTTCTACCTGAGATGTTCCTGCAGTACAATGTTCATGACTTACACTGGTCCAGACCGAAGTGGAGAAGATTCATGGTCCTAAACAAGTGGATCCAACAAAAGTGGAGGAAATACATTTTATATATGGCCAGAATCAAACACGAAAAGGCAGAAACTGCCTCTCCACACTTATGTTCTACAAATCGTAATTGGCCATATGAATGATCATAAAGCTGTGTGTCTCACCACTCTTTCTGTGTTTCAGGATGGGCTGGGTTGCTCTGCTCCTGATCCTCTGGGCTGTACCCCTCTGTGAAGCTGGTAAAATCCTGGTTTATCCTATCGACGGAAGCCACTGGCTGAACATGCGCATCCTGGTGGAGGCGCTGCATGCTCGCGGTCATGAGATCACCGTGCTGCGCTCCTCCACCAGCTGGTACGTGACGGAACACTCTCCTCATTACACGTCCATCACCATCGAGCAGCAGAAACGACAGAATCTGGAGGACCAGGACTTCATGAGCTCCTTCCTCACCAGGTCAATGGAGATCCGTCGGAACAGAGGCTCCATCTGGGCCTTCATTGAATTCTACAAGAACCTGTTCAACATGATTAGAGAGAACCAGGTGGTGGTAGCCAAGTTTGTGGTGACTATTTTTGAGAATAAATCTTTGATTAAGCAGCTAACAGATGCAGGCTATGACCTGTTTCTGACAGACCCAGCATTCCCTGGAGGAGTGATGCTTGCCCATTATCTAAAGCTGCCCACAGTGTTTAATGTCCGCTGGATTTTTAATGGAGATGCTCACTTTGCCATTGCTCCCTCCCCTCTCTCTTTTGTGCCACAACTCTGCTCTCAGTTCACAGATAAAATGGACTTTGTTCAGCGACTATCAAACGTCTGTTACCACTGCATCCTGATCTACATGCTTCACTTTGTGTCCAACCCCCCGTACCAGGCTGTATGTGACCGTTACTTTGGCCCTGGTGTGGATGTCATGTCTCTGATGCAGGGAGCAGACATGTGGCTCATGAGGACAGACTTCATATTTGACTTTCCTCGACCTTCCATGCCAAACGTGGTGTACATTGGGGGTTTCCAGGTAGAACCCAGCAATGCGCTGCCCTTAGATTTGGAGGAGTTTGTAGAGAGTTCAGGAGAACACGGGGTAATCATTATGACTCTGGGCACATTGCTGGGAGACCTTGGCCCAGAGAAGTCAGAGATGTTTGCGGCAGCATTTGCAGCACTGCCTCAGAAGGTTATCTGGAGACATCTGGGTCAGAAGCCAGATTCTCTGGGAAACAACACTAGGCTGGTGAAGTGGATGCCTCAAAATGACCTTCTTGGACATACAAAAACCAAGATGTTTGTGACACATGGAGGCACTAACGGTCTGTATGAAGCAATGTACCACGGTGTGCCTGTGCTGGGGGTACCTCTCATCTTTGACCAGTTTGACAATATGGAGCGCATGAAGGCTCACGGAGCAGGCGACTTTGTGGAGATCACAAACTTAGATACAGATAGCCTTATAAAATCTTTGAAGAATATATTAGACCCAGAGAAACCATATAAAACCAACATGATAAAACTGTCACAGTTGATTCATGACAAACCTATCAAACCTTTGGACAATGCCGTTTTCTGGACAGAACATGTCATGAGACATAAGGGGGCGCCACACCTGCGCACTGAGTCATACAAACTGCCCTGGTACTCGTATCACTCAGTGGACGTGATGGCAACCATACTAGTAGCTATCCTGCTGACTCTTTATATCTGTTTTAAGATTTGTCAATTTCTCATTGGATTCTTAGTCAGAGGCAAAAAGTCCAAGACTGAATAGGCAAAAAGAGAACAACAGAATTTATGGGGAAAAAATATTCTGAATGGGAGTCAAAAAATTGAAAGATTGATCCAGGTGACTTCAAACAAAATGTTCTCTCTCTCTCTAGCCCTTTATAAGCATGCATGCCTGTCCAGGGTTTATCCAGAGTTCAACCAGAGTAATATTCAGAACGCTGACAAATTTAAAATTATATGTTATATTTTATATTTTTCTCTGACACTTAATGCAAAAAAGCTCTGTGCTTAATTACCTGATATATTTTGGCGAGAAGCTTCATCAGAGGGGAAGCTGTTGTTACAGGGTGCAGCCAGTCTGACAGATGGGGCAGATCTATCAGACTGTCTGTGTCTCCAACCGTGCTTTGGTCTGGAGAAATAGGTCCCAAGTGTGAGCCAAGGTAAAGGTCCCCCTAGTCTCTGTGGATGGTTTGTGCCAGTGACGTGCGGTCAGATGAGGCAGGTGAGGCCCGGCCTCACCTAAGATCATGCAAGAAGAAAGAATAAAATGGAAACAATAATACGTTGTCTCTATATCAAGTGATATAGTATTATTTCAATGTAACTTTGACTTATTTAATATATTTTTAGCTTGAAATCGCAGATTCTGTTTTCTCTGTTTATCGCGGGTTTACAAAGTGAAAACATATTTCATTTACAATCAACATGTCTACAGTCGAAGGGATGGGTCATAAATTGTGTTTTTGACAACTAATATGAGTCTTTATCGTGCTAAACCACGGCTTGTAATGACACCAAGTGAGGCCAGCCTCAGGATGGGGGGCGCATGTGAGCCCAGAATTCGGTTGCATCCAATTCTATCAGAAAGGTCCTTTCTTGTTCTTCATCTGCTAAGGGCAGCTACAGGTTTGGCTTACATACATATAACACATTTTAAGATAATTTAAAATGCACTTTGTTGTGCTTCCAATGATGATATGAGTGATAAGTAAGAGAGGTGAAGGTTGAGAAGGTTGATTTTAGAAATTGGATGTACCCGAGATGCGGCTGCAGCGAAACACATAGGAGTGAATGGAGGAGACACTTCCATCCATCCATTTTCTACCCTTTAATCCATTTCTGGGTCAGGGGGGTGACAGTCAGAGATGCCACCCAAGTCTCATAGCACCAGCCCCTCACTGGCCCTCTGCAGGTGGTGAGTCCACAGGAGGACGGCTGCTCTGAGTGTGAGCATAGCCTTGATCTTTCAGTGGGGGCTTTGGGCAAAGTGGGGTTAAGTGTCTTGCCCAAGGACACAACAACAGCAGTCATCAGTGGGAGTCGGTGGAGAAGGTGTTGAGGTGGGAAATGAACCCACGACCTTCAGGCCTGAAGGCCAATGCTCTACCAACTGAGCTACTGTCGCCCGGAGGAGACACTTGTTTGTTTTAACTTTTTCAAACTCATTGGACTTGTATCCAAATGGAGGATTACATATCTACGCTCAAACTATTATCTGGACTTAAACATAAAACTGGTCTGAACTGAAGTGGTCTGTGCAGGTCATTTATAAGCTAAGGACCATAACACACTTTGAAATGTGCTTTTTAAAAACGTTTGCATTTTGTTTGTGCAAACAATGCGGGCATAAAACATATTCTGCTTTAGCCAAACAAATTGTGAATAAGCCGCTCTGTAGGTCCTGTTGATTTACTGTATATGATATAACTTCATCTGATTGGGCTGAAGTCAGTGCCTCAATCACCAACCTCACTGCACGTCACTGGTTTGAAGACAATATATTTTCTTTAAATATGTGTGTTGTGCTGTTGCAGCTCCACGTGCTGTATAGCATACAGGGATAGTGTTTCAACATTTTGTTTTCACCAAGGCTCAAATGGAACCTACAACTACAAAAAAGAGAAAAAATATATATATAATAGAATTATATGTTTGACATTCTGAATGCATTAGATTTGAAGAATGTATTCACATCAGTCAAAATGCTCCAAATTGGTATTCTTATTTAATTATGTATTGTTTGTGATAGACACAGTGCAATTATTCATATATTAGAGCTGTGTAACTCCATGGGAATTCTATAGTAAAACCAAACCTTTGAACAGTTTCCATCGTTTGAAGATTATAATCTCCAAACTGCAGGAGATAATAGACGGATAGACTAATGTTTATTGCACTACAGTATATGATTCATCCACTGGAGGTCATCATTGAGCTGAGCACTGACTAACCCAAACCATGTTAATATTTACAGAGAACTCACATATTTCTCTCAAATCTAAAATCCAAATGTGATAGTCAATAGAGTTGAGCTCTTCAGAAGAATGAATGTGACATCTTGAGTTTATAAATATATAGAGCAGGATTACTATTGCAACAACACATCATTGGTAGATCTAACCTGTCTTTAATGACAGACTAAACCCAGCTGGATGAAAAAAATAATATTGTTAAATATTATATATATGAAGCCAATGCTACTTGAGCCATTGAAATTTTTTACATATGACCACAGAATGAAAGAATGTTTGGATTTGTGTAGACCAGAAGTAAATAATAGACTGTGAAGTGCAAGCAACATGATTAGTTAAAAACTCGGCCTGGGTGTGTTGTTTGTGAAAATATGCAAATGACTGCTGCCCACATGGTTTCCTAATATTCAAATCGAGCCTGTCTGAGTGTAATCTATTCCCAGTTCAGGTACAGGTGTGGATGTGGGATCTTTGGAAAGAAAACACTGAAAATGCTCTCCATGTTGTTGTGTTAAGATAATGGACAGTACTTTCTTTTTGCGGAACTGCTGGGAAATGAGGTTCCAAAAAAGAATTAACTTTGCTGTGATCAGTAACTTGTGCAAGTTTTATTAACAACCAATTCACAAATCATTAGCTTTCATTTTATAAAAACAAGTCTTTGTGATCACAAACATCACAACTGTTGTATTCCACTGCATGTGTACGTATACATGGACTGTATGTGACGAAACTACAATGAAGAGCGCACACCTTCTTTGACTATATCTGTAAGCGATTGTTTTGTCTCATACTTTGACAAATCCAAAATATATTTTGAATCACATTTACAAGATTGCCATAGTCCTTGTGAAAAGGTGTTTATTACTGATACCATTTCCTTCACAAATATTAGTATTAGTATTTAAGAATTTATGGAAAGCTTTGAGTTAAATCTGCATCAATCCTGGCGATGGAAACTTATTTCATCTTTTGCATTGCTTGATTATTATGTTGAGGTTTTCAACACTGGAACTCCCAGAGCAGTCAAAGTGCGGCTTTTAGCTCAAAAGCGTAATGACTCTGATTATGAACATGTTTGGTATTCTTAATTCTGTTTTTTCTGTTTCTGTATGTAGTTTATTCCTTTTATTACGCAAATAGTTGACAGTAGTTGCTTTACTACTTTCAGTCATTATGACTGCTCCATTCATTTGAATTTACATTTCAAATGGAGCCATTTTTGATCGCTTGGCAAACAAAAGCAGTTAAACCCCCTTTTCTTTTCACTTATCAAAAGTGAGTAAAGATAAAAACTTTATAAATTACTTTGTATAAAACTGACTTACTTTAGAAAAACAAAATCCAGTTCTTTGGCTTTCAGAACTCTGGGAGTCCTAGTGTTAAACATGTTATAAAACATGTTGTAAAACATGTTATCCAAACCCCTACATCTGGTCTGTGACGTGTCCTGGCGCATCACACAGGGCTGGAGCCTGCAGTGGAGTGCTTGCAGCTACAGAAGACATTTTGTGGCTGTGCAGGACCCGCCGCGTTCGTCCCATGAGCGCCCGGAGGCCCGAGGACAGCTGCTCACTCACATGCAGGTACACCAGCGGGTTCAGGGCAGAGTTCAGACACACCAGGCCACGGCTGACCTGATGCGCCACATAGACAGAGTGAGACCAGCTGTGGCACTGCTTTCTCTTGGACAGCACTCTGGAGCACAGGTTGAGGCTGCGGAGGACGTGGTAGGGGATGTAACACACAGAGAAGAGCAGCATCAGGACCAGCAACAGCCGCAGACTCCTCCTTTTCAGCTGTCGGTCTGAAACAGGAGGAAACACTCATTTACCTTCAATCACCCTGCGTGTTTTCCAAAACAGACTTTCTGCTGTTGTTCATTTAAACCAAAGGGGAAAAAGCAACAACAAAAACCCATAAAATGCACAAATAGAAGGGCTTTCTTCCATCTTTTCACTTGTTTTGGTTCATACCAGATTTCAGAGAAAGCCAACATATCAAGATCAGCATAGAATATGAAAAAGTTGGATTATAACTGTATTGTTAGCATTAATAAGTTGTCATGAACACCATATTTATTTTTGTTTCATAAGCCCTGTTGAACTTCTGCCTTTAAAGCCATTTTGATAAGCGCAAAGATAAAAGTTAGAACAACGTTGTGCTGCAGTTGCACATGAGAAGCAAACATTCAACATAAATCCAAGTTGACATTGAGAGAGTATTCTGTTTGTCTCCTGAGAATAATGTTTTTTTTTCCAATGCTACAAAAGAAATGAAAAAAGAAATATAAACAAGGCAAGGCAAAATGTAATGTATACAACAAAATACATAAACCAATCATTTTACTTTGTTGCAGCTTGAATGGATGTAGCGTGTTTGTTCTCACTTGGTGTAGTTTGCAACCCGTTTGCAAAGATGGAAGATAAAAACATATTTTCAAGTTGGCGTCATTGTCTTGTGACAAATGCTCAATACAGGTTTTGCACAATAAGCTCTTTCACATTTCTGGAAACGGGTTTGGCCCACAATCAGTACAGAATGAAACTTATGTCACTTTCAGTTAGATTTAGAACTATTGGACAATAGTTGCAGCCAAAATGCATGAAGATCCTAACAATTGTTGAACATAATAAATAATACTATGGCCTGAGTAAACCAAATTAGAATGACTTTGCCTGATTAGTAGCTTTTGATCTATAACCTGGGGACAGGTGTCAAAAATACAAAGTCAATCCAATCCACCCTTCTATTGTCTTGTGCTTTATCTGTTGCTGTTCAACTTTTTTGACTACAGACAAGTGTTCCTTTACAGGTCTGTGTCCTATGGCGTGCACAGACCTGGCTTGCCCACCTGCTTGTCTCTGGGGAGATTCTGAGCAATATTTTTGAGTGGGATCACCCAAAACATCAGAACAAAATTCAGTTTTTCTGCGTTGAAATAACCCTTAAACCCTAAAGTTATACATACAAATATAAAATGGATATCTTGAGAAACATAGAAAAAACTTCATTAAATGTCTCCATTCCAACAAGATGATGTCACCCACCTGTGTTTGCAGATCCACACAGCTTCACCACCACATGAGTGTAACAGCCCACCGTGACCAGAAAGGGCAAGCAGAACCCTGTCAGTGTCCACCCCACACTGTATTTGAGATAGTCCTCCACAAAGTCCTTGGATGTGGTGTCAAAGCACTTTTCAGCACCTTTTCTGTACGTTTTTGGGAAGAACATATCTGGTAGACTTTGGACAATCACCAAAACCCATACAATAGCTGAGACAACTACAGAATGGGTCACTGTAATTCTTCCAATCACACGAATTGGATGGACTATAGCCAGGTAACGGGACACACTGATGCAGGTGAGGAATCCAATACTTCCATACAAGTTAATGTTGAAGCAAAACCGCGTAACTTTACAGAAAACATCCCCAAAGATCCATCGACTTCCTTTAAAATAGTAGACCACTAGGAAAGGCAGCGTGAGAAGGTAGAGGATGTCAGCAAGTCCCAGATTCAAAACAAAAATATTGATTATTTTGAGTTTAGTCCAGTTGTGAAGTAATGTCTTGAGTCCGATCACGTTTGCAGAGAAGCCGACAACGAAGACCAAAATGTACACAGGAGGAAGGAACCGACCTGCGAAATCAAAGTTGATAATATGTGGACAAGAGCTGCTTTTGTTCATGGTTTCTCCTGCTCTCATTGATGCTTTGCTGCAAGGATACATCGATTAGGCAATGTCATTTTAGCTGACGTTACTAGAAAAGCTTCCTCTTTCAACCAAAGATGTCTGTGCGCACGAAATACATAAACCAATCATTTTACTTTGTTGCAGGTTGAATGGATGTAGCGTGTTTGTTCTCATTTGGTTGAGTTTGCAACCCGTTTGCAAAGATGGAAGATAAAAAACATATTTTCAACTTGGCGTCATTGTCTTGTGACAAATGCTCAATATAGATTTTGCACAATAAGCTCTTTCAGTCTTCTGGAGACGGGTTTGGCCCACAATCAGTACAGAATGAAACTTATGTTACTTTTGACAAACAGATTATTTTCAAATAATGAAAGGTATTCTCCAGTTACAAATAAATAAATGACAGTGGCAATATTGCCACGTTAAGCAAGAAATATCTGCTTTAAATATAACAATTCATACATTTTTGCTTGTCTTGTATTTTTGATACCATTTTACAAAATTGAAACATCACAAGTAAAAATGTATTCACACACTTTCCACTGATGTTGTTGAAATGAGAAGTGTTCAGATGAAGCCTCTCTTCAGTAAAAGGCACATGACACACAGAGGCTTGGAGCCAAAATGCATGAAGATCCTAACAATTGAACATAATTAATAATACTATGGCCTGAGTAAACCAAATTAGAATTACTTCGCCTGATTAGTAGCTTTTGTTCTATAACCAGGGGACATTTGTCATAAAAAAAACCACTACCTCCCGCCTCCTCCTCGACCTTCTAGCCAAGCTCTCATCTCAACTTCACCCCTTATGCTACCTTCAGTACCTGGACCACATGCCTCCACTACCTAGGTCCCGGGGGGATTATAAGCGGGACACAAGGAATGGTTGTCACCAACAAAGTGCTGCTGCCGGGGCCTGGGGTTCCAAACAAAGTAATGAATAAACTCATTTAATGAAATTCTGTGTCTCTCCAGATTGAAATGTGGTAATTAAGCAGGACTAGCTTCTTCACACTCTTTGTATCTGAACAACCTTCTAAGCCAATATCTCATGTGACACAATATTGTGTCAATACACAACTTCCACTTTGAGGTTCTTATGAAATAATGTAGAAACACTTCCTCTGCATCCAGAATGTTGATGAAACAATGTCTACAAAAAACACTACACTACACTATTGGAGCCTCATTGCCACAACTGCATGTCTGGGTTTCTGCTGTGTTGCCTCAATGTTATACTTGATTTGGCCACAAGAGGGCAGCATGGAGTTTAGTCTTAACATTCTAAAGCCAACATTACCTTTAGCTGCAAAAGGCAAATTTCTTCGAATCCAAACTACTCTGTGGGAGGATTTATTGAAATGTTTTTTTGGAATAAATTATTATGTTCATGGAATCATTTAACCGGAAACACACTTATTTTAATCTCTTAATATCTTTTATTCTAAATCATATAACTAGTAAGGCTATTTATCCTCAAGGCCGTATTAGATTTGACTAATGGGAACAATCTGATATTTTGGGAAATAATTATGAGGTAGTAAAATACAATCCTGACTTTTTTGGAGAGAGACCTTCACAGGCAATGCATTCTGGGATGTTGCAGATTTGCAACACTGGCCCGCTCTGGTAAATAGAGCTGACCCGGGGAAAAACCAAGCCCTGGTGATCCAAGATGGCGCACTATTCAAATGAATGGCTTGTGCTCAGTAGCAGTAGTATTTGGGCAGAGTTTGTGGCAGTAAAGTGTGGATTTAGAGAAAACCGAAGGATTTCTCTAAAAAAAGTTCAGGATGACAAGGGACACTAAAATCCCCACAAAATCCGATCTTTATGAAAGCTGTAGGTTCTCTGTCAGCTGAGGTCAAGCTGCTTTGGTTTACATTGAGTTCTATGGGACTTTTTTTCTGGGTAGCCCTCGTGAATTTAGTCTGCAGTACCACGTGCCCATAGGTGGGACAGCTATAAGCTAGTAATACCCTATCCAGTTATTATTATAGATCCATGGGAAAAACCCAGAGGAGATATAATCCATTAATTGGAATGTATTGTATCTACGTATTTTAATCTTTAATTGTATTTTGGTTTCAAATTATTAGAGGTTGGGAGTGATACTGACATGAAATTAATGCCAAAAAATTTCATTTTGGTGAAACCATGGAGACTGACGTTCCGCCCCCTGGTGAGCAGGTGGAAAATTGTGTGTTGCAAATCTGCAACGCTTATATTTCCAATCAAGCAGCTCATTACGATGTAACCGCGGCTCTCAGTGCATCTGACAGGCTGTGGTGCATATGTTATTTTGTTCATTGATGGATATTCTTATTTCATAATTATGTAATATATTATATCATACAATATATTTACATACAGCAAACTGACAATTCATTTTGGAATGCATGAATGCACATCGGAAAAGCTTCTCAGCAAGTCTGATTACATGTTACTCTGTGGTAAATATGTACGGTAGAAAATACATTTTAATTGTATTTAAAGTCAACATGGAGGATAATTAGGGTGCTAAGAACATGAGGGAGTGAAAAATATGTTTTCATTTTGAACTTTTTAAAAGCCCTTCAAAGTTCACCTTTCAATGGTGTGAACGCAGTCTGAGTGGGACAGGGGAATCCTTGACTCTAATGGAAAATCTGTGATGCATAAACAACAAACAATGCTTCCTTTCATAGAAACATGTAAATACTGAGCAAATTCAACCAAAACAGGTCAGAGTGACCATAACCGGGCAATGTCTTAAATATGTGTGGAAAATGGAGAAAATGTTAACAAAAAGTAATCAATAAATTGTGTGAGTGTTTTTTAAGGAGTACCACAAGAAATGCATGTTTTGATATTATAAAATAGTGTAATATAAAATAATAAAAATGGTTTATACCAAATATGTAAAGGTAAAATTACAACAAAATAAAGTTTATTACACATAAATACAGACGTTATAAATTATCTCTGAAGCTATTTACAGATCCACAGAAAGTGCAAAGTCACATGCTACATATACATCCTAAACAGCAAAAACATATATACATATCTTACAAACATTTCAACACATCAACAAGACAGCAAAAAGGCTCGAAACAAGTCATTACCATGACAACAGTGCAGGAGGCAACCCAAGCGTTTGAGGCTCGGGAAAGGAAGTCGCAAATCACCAGACCAAATAAGGAGTGAATAAAGATTATTCAACCTTCCCCTGGTATGATTCTTATCTGATCCTAATCAATTACTCCTAAAAGAACACATACAGGACAAAACAATGTCTATGGCAATAAAAAACAAAGATTACATAAATAAATATACTACAATATAATGTGTTGTAGTGTGTTTAAAAATGTAGCCAATGTCCTAATATTCACAGGCTGTTTCTTACCCCATGCACTTAAAAGGAAAGTACTAGGTACTTTTCAGTGCAGCTCAAACATGTTGTGGAGGTGAAGTACAGATAGTAGTATAAATAAGTACTCTCAAATGCGGTGTTAAACAGTATAATCTCTGAAATGTACTTCCGTAGAGTACAAATACCTAAAATATGTACGTAAGTACTATTTAGTTCCACTATATATTTTCCTACTGCTGCATGCAGTCATGAAATGGTCAGTATGTATTCATTCTTACTTTAACTTTGTACCACATTGCTTATCTGAAGTGGATATATTTACAGATATTATATCTGATATTATATCTGATATTATCACATAATTACACTTTCTTCTAATTCAAGCAGTGTCTTCTCATCATGATAGTATTATGAGCAGGTTGGGTGGGCCTTATATTCAATGATGGGCGAGTAACAGTTTCTGTATTTTTGAGTGTTCACTGAACGATAGTGCAGATATAAACTACTTGTAGATGGTTCCTAGGGTCTGAATCCCCACAGTGCAGGGTTCTTGTGTGGAGCATAGGGGCAGTTTTGATGGCACGCACAGGAGTGAATGAGCATCACAGCCCTCTTCTGCCGCCTGCCTCCAGGGCAGATGAAGCCCACTTGAGCAGTGGATGTGTGGTGAGGCGTGCAGCAGCGAGAGTCTGAGCACAGGCCACAGAAGCGAAGCTGGAAGGTCCTCGTGCTGGAGCAGTCCTCATGAAGCAGCCGCACTCGCCCCGGGGACAGAACAGTGGGCTGGCACTCTCCACTGTGGCTCCACTGCTGTTACATGAAAAAAAAAACATCAAATCAAAATTACTATATGGAGATGTAAGATAATGGGAATATGAGAGATATTTACACTTTTAGCAAACAATAAACAAATGTGTGGGAGTAGAGAGAAAGAGGGAGATTGACGCGCACATCCAATTCAAAGTAGCGTGCAAAACAGTTGAAAATAAATCTATGAAAAAATTGAGATGACTCTGCACAGCTTCTGCTCCAAAGAGATTTTAATTCTCACCACACAATGTGACGTTTCGGGTCACTACCCTTCATCAGACATAAAAGAGAGTAGAGAGAAGACATTCTTATTGTGTTGAGCTAGGTGTTGGAAAAGTTCTTGTTGTTTAAAATTGATATGGGAAAATGTTTTCTCAGCAGACCACATTCGAGTAGGGGGAGTGTGATAAAACATGAACTAACAATCAGGCTAAGTTTAGTGTTAAAACTAGTTTGTTTGGTTAAAATTAAGGTTCTAGAATAAGAAGAAATGCTTTCTCCTCTTCTCCTGTGTCAAACTTCTTCACAAATTTGTTTTAGAGATGGCAGAATAACGAGAGACATAAAGGAGAGGAATCAAGCAAATATTTAATGAGATGCTCTTCTGGACAATAGAAAATTACTGTTTGGTTTTACTTTTGTTTAATTTCCACACACCATAAAGCACACACTATATTAACTCACACATTATTATAGCTACAATCATTTACAAAAACATTAATCATTTTTCTGGTTTATCTGTTGCTTCTCTTGAGCAGGTGTAACATTAAAGGTGTGCCCTCGGTTAATAACCCTAGAATTGAGTTTGAAAACAGGACATCCAAGTCTATCTTACCTTATCTAAAACTACCACACACACATGCTATGCTTACCCCTGGAGCTGTGCGCTGGGGCAGGTGAGGGCTGCACGGGCGCACTTTGCACAGTCTTGTCTCCAGCTGCAGCCGACAGCTGGGGTTCTGGTTGGATACTCTAGTGGAGATACCGGGACCACAGCTCTGAGAACATGCGCTCCACTGAGTACTCTGCTCCACACACACGGGCCGAGCAGGAGGAGGTCTCACGGGGCCCAGTCTGTTCACGGGAGTCCAGGGTAAAGAGGGTCGCAATCTCCCAGACTGTTGGGCTACAGGGGATAGAGAAAATGAGAATGTGAAAATGATGATACAGTGAGAGTGCCAGTGGTCAATTATACCATGAATGAAACACGTCTGGTGCCATTACAGGCCACTTTCATGTCCTTATTTTAGATTTAGCAGCGTGTCTGTGAATGTGTGAGACATACTTGTGGTCTAATAAAACAGTATAGTGGACCTGAAAATGTGTTTTGATTTGTGCAGAGATAAATTTGGAATCAGACTGTTCCCTTTGGTCGGGCACACCCAACATGAGAAAGGTCCATTAAAACCACACAGGACAAAAACATAGAAATTATAGTCATTTGGAAGAAATTATTGAGTCACATAGCTGACCATAATGTGATAAATGTGTGTAAAGTCCAACTGGAATATGTTTGAGTGATTTTCAGAGGGTGTTGGAGTAAACAAATGAGTCAGTAGTTGCAAAATGCCTGGTCATATTTGTGGAAGAAACTGAAATAGGCTGTTTACAGAAAGCACAGGCGCCGCTGTTGCTGTAACAGTGACACAAAAATACGGTTGATTATGAAATTGTTTATTGAAAGCTCAAAGATGACTGTTGATGAAACATTTTCTACTCTAAACATACTCATACCTGTTCCACATTGTGTCTTGTGTTGTGTAAAAGACATGAAAATATTGCCTTGCCATTTTATCTGTGAAAGACCAACACAAAGAGACATAATATTGTGGGGCAAAGAAAATACAAGGTGCTATTTTAACTGTTTTCTATTTGCAACTCGTCTGCAAAAGTCAAATTTTAGTATAATTTGACTAGTAGATGTCCCATGCATAGATTCCCTCAGCTCAACCTATACCTGCCATCTCCCCCAGAGTTACCATGTCTGCATCTCTGGTCAGTGCTGTCCCCGTCAGGTCAGTAAGTTTTCATTCCCGGGTGATGGAATGAACTGTGCTCTGTGAGATGTTCAAAACCTGCAAAAAACGACTCTCCAAATCCACCTCTCACCTCGGGTAGGTTCTTCATTACTTCATTACACTTAATTTAGTGATCAACATTCGGTTTGTCTCAGGCCTTCACAGATTACTGAGATTAAATAACGCTCTGCAGTGCACTCTATTCAGTACTCACTTCTAAAGGCAATTGTTTTCATTCAGACAAAAGGAGGCTAAATACTTTCACGCATTTGTGTTGGTTTTTCACACAAAATTAACCATGTTTGTTGTTGTAATTAGACACAATTGCTTAAAGTTCATGGGCATGACATATTTCTCAAAGTAGAGGACATTATTACTGTATATAGTGAAAACATTCAAAATCTTTAAAATTGACTGGAAAAACGTCTCCAACTCGCAAATAAGTATAGAACTGTGGCCGTGTACCAACACCAATGAGAAATGTCAGTCAGAGCAATGACGCCTTAATTGAGTTTCCCAAATGGAGCAAAGGAAATCTTTAGCAACAGGTTTATCTCTTACCTGTGATGGCGTCTTTAAAGATCGTGTTGTCCAAGTTTTCGCAGACCCACTGTGGGCAGCAAGTCCCGGGCAGGCGGATGTACTGAGGGTTGGGGCAGTCTGTGGAGGGCAGGGGGCTGGAGACGGGACAGGTCCGGACACAGCTCACACCTCCACCACTGCAGCGACAGAGCGTATCGCAGGACGGACGAAAGGTCTGACCCTCTGAGTACCAGACATCATTGAGCTCACAGCCCACCTCCTCCAGGCCTGCAAGACAACACACCACAACAAAGAGGAAAAGATGTGAATGCATATGTCAAATAAATTAATATGAATGCATTTGCCACTACTTAAGTTCAGCTTGATGAGGTTTTTTTGTATTCCCAAGCCTCCATAGAAAATAGTGAGCAACGACTGCGTAAAAGGTGATAATTCACTTGAAAAAGCAAAAATACTATTCCTAATACTATCTACTGCACACTGTCTCACTCTCTTCTATCCTCACTGACCTTCACCAGGCTTGAGGACAGCCCCTTCCCGTTCAGTCTTATACAGGTTCAGCAGAAAATGTATTATTCTATATGTGTCAGCAAACAGTTTCAACTTAGATTAAAAAAAAGGTTTCAAGTCCAATTAACTACATGGTTATAAAGAAAATTGTTCATCATCAGCAGTGGTCTCTCTTTAGGTTTAATTGCAAAGTCCATCCATCATCAGGCAGCACAAATGCACCACTTTCAGAGCGTTTCCGTGGCTCAGCCTTTTTTTAACCCGCACCATGAACACCAAAAACATGAACACTAAAAACATGAACACCAAAAACATGAACACAAAAACATGAACACAAAAAACATGAACACCAAAAACATGAACACTAAAACATGAACACCAAAAACATGAACACCAAAAACATGAACACTAAAAACGCTAGAGGTGCAGTTAGTCCTGACCAAGCAGAGCATCAACACATGGGGGTGGGTCTCTGGTCCCTGTACTGCTCCTGACAGATACTCATTTCCCTCCTGGGACAATAATGTATCCCACAACCTCATAGAGTATATTTGGAAAACCTCCAGGTGTCCGTGACAAACATCTGCAGCCTGTTTCCCAGTTAATCCTATTACTGGATTTGCTGAAAGTCTAAATTAATATTTCATTTTGGATGAAGATGTCTCTTGGGTTTTTCTCTTCCTGCTGGAGCCCGCTCTCTGCAGTGTTCAACTCTGGCTTCTAACATCTCAGTGTGCGAATGTGTGTCTCTTTGGACATCTAGACATAAGGAGGAAGGTAGTTCTGCTGCATTATGCTAAAAGGAGCAGAGAAAAGTTCAAGGTTTTTTCTTTTAATTTTAGACTTTGCGCTCCAATATAAAACAATAGGTGAAAACAATATTTTGACATTGATTTGACGTACCAATATTCTTATAACTGCATACGAATGACATGGGTAAAAGGAAGCATGTATATGAACTGAACACAATCTTGTGATTTGACACTGACCGACACACTCCCCAGGCTCCCCGGGCAGACTGGCGCTGTGGTCACACTGCAGGCCACTGTCGCAGGGGTTCAGCTTCGTGCACTGCTCTCCCCTCTGACGTGCACACACTTGACAGCAGCCACAGCCATCCTTCACCAGGGACACTCCTGCTCGGCATGCTGGGACATCCGCAGGACACTGACAGTGCTGCGGACACTCCTGACTCCGCACCTGTCAAAGCAGAGAAGATCCACTTGTTTGGCAAGGCAAAGTTTGAACTTTGTTTACACAGCAATCAGAGTTCTTTTTTGTTGTTATTTGTTTTCTAACAGTGGTGAGAGGCAGTACAGACCAGTTTTTAAAAGAAGCTAAAATAGGCATGCATGTTATGAAAGCATTTCCATTTGTAAATAAACTTACTCTGGGTCTTAGGTGAAATAAAATGTATACTTTAACACACGTCTCCCAATTTCAACTTTGATCTATACTGTAAATATATAAATATAAAGTTGAGGGTCTCACCTGTGCGATAATGAGAAACAGCAGCAGAAAGCTCCCTTTAAAACAGTCTGTCATTACAGCTGTGTGGCTGTTTTCTTATAGATCCTTTCTGTGTTCTTGTACAGAACTGTGCAGCTGTTTGCTCCTGTCCACTTTTCTCCACTCATTCTCCTGTCTAACATTTATATCGTGGCGTCTGGTGATGTCATGAGTCGTGTAAACATTCACCACAGCAGCAGCAGCATCACACATGGTTCACATTCCTCCAGCTGCACTTCCAGACAGGGACACACCCACCTGCCTACCCTCTCCTTCTCATGCTGCTATAACTTTCCAGTCTCATTCTTTCTGTAGAAGTGAATTAGTTATGAATGAATGTAACAGAACCCATGTTAAAGCCCCAGTAGCTGCTAGTGATTATGAAGGGACCAAGTCTGGAAAGTCTTGAGTCATTCAGACCGCATGATGACATAACTAAAACATTCTGCCGCATGTCAAAGGAAGGGCATTTTGTCTGCCTTTGTATCTGTTTCTACTGATCTTTAAATGATAATAATTTGTTACAGTTTTTCTCAGTCGCTTTGGTGCATTTTTCACATCAGACTTAAAGTTCTCAAAACTATTAGTTCAACTTCCACAACATTGGGTCATTGGTGCACATGATCATGGCAGTTTCTCATTCCTCTGAACACATTTCAAATGCTTTTGTTCATGTATCAGTTACTTTCATACAATTCTCAGCGTTTTTTCAACATCATCATTTGCTTCTGTCTTGTCAGTCAAAATGACACTTATCACTTCTGAATAGTCATTCACTATAAAACTAACTGTCCTCATTTCATCGCTTTGGTATCACATACGAAATTGTTGAACTAGTTCTCAAAATCATAACTGTCAAGCTAATTTCATACATTCCTTCATCTTTTTTTTCCTGTAAATCTTTCTTAAATTGAACAATTTATCTCAGGTGAATTTCAGCTTTCACTCATGAGGTGTGCTTTATTGTTCATTTTTGTCACAGTTCTACCATAATGATATTTCTTGTATGTTTGTTCTGTGTATGTACATGTACAGTATGTGCCTGCAATTCTACAGCATTGTGCAACAAAAATATAAAGAGCATATGCAGTACACATACATACATATACATACTGTACATACATACATAGATACACACATACATACATACATATAAATACTGTACATACATACATAGATACACACATACATACATACATACAGTACATACATAGATACACACATACATACATATACATACAGTACATACATATATGTTACAGAATGTCAGTTACTCTAAATACAGTCTTTGTGTAACTTTACAGTAGTTTTTACTGTAAATGGCCGTATAGGTTGTGTATAATGAGCTCATAGTCGTGCTCAAGTGTCACCGAGATCTGACTTTTTTACTCTGAAAACACAGAGAGAGTAAACTTTCACAATGAAAACATGACTAAGTCATTTGACTGTGATGTTCATACTCAATGTTGTTAGGACATATTATTTTGACGACACAGACAGTTTCATTGACGTTTGAACTTGCATTTGAGGACATAACTTTTCATTTTGAGAAAGTGACGCACTTTTGCAGGTTTTCCACGAGGTTCTGCAGTTTGCACTAATTGTTCTGAGAAATGCACCAACAGTTGTGCAAATGTGAAGAAAAACTAATCAAGTTAGTGTAGCAGTGATGAAATGTAGGACGCAGCTGGTTTATTTCACATTGCAAACATGAATGACTGTGTGTGTGTGTGTGTGTGTGTGTGTGCGGGGAGATGTGAAGACTTTTTGTTTGGTGGTTGTTGTTAGGCCACTGTTTTTACTCAACTGCTAGGCAATTACTACTACAATATATTATTTCCATCCATCCATCCATCCATTTTCTACCCTTTAATCCATTTCTGTGTCAGGGGGGTGGCAATCAGAGATGCCACCCAAGTCTCATAGCACCAGCCCCTCACTGACCGTCTGCAGGTGGTGAGTCCACAGGAGGACGGCTGCTCTCTGAGTGTGAGCATAGCCTTGATCTTTCAGTGGGGGGTGGATAGACAGATGGATGGATAGATAGATAGATAGATAGATAGATAGATAGACAGAAGGATAGATAGATAGACATATGGATGGATAGATGGAAGGATAGATAGATAGATAGATAGACAGATGGATAGATAGATAGATAGATAGATAGATAGATAGATAGATAGATAGATAGATAGATAGATAGATAGATAGATAGATAGATAGATAGATAGATAGATAGATAGATAGATAGATAGATAGATAGATAGCTAGACAGATGGATAGATAGATGGATAGATAGATGGATAGATAGATGGATAGACAGATGGATAGATAGATGGATAGATAGATGGATAGATAGATGGATAGATAGATAGATAGACAGATGGATAGATAGATGGATAGATAGATAGATAGACAGATGGATAGATAGATAGATAGACAGATGGATAGATAGATGGATAGATAGATGGATAGATAGATGGATAGATAGATGGATAGACAGATGGATAAGACAGATGGATAGACAGATGGATGGATAGATAGACAGACAGAAGTGTTTTTGGAATATCACCCCACACTGCTCTGTATGTTTTAAAGGACAAACTCAGACAGTAATAGAAAAATGCTTATTACATTAGGTTGGAGGAATTATATTGGTTTCTACATGATTTTACAGAATGGCCTGATACAGTATGTGCCTAAAATAGATCTACATAACTTCGTTCAAAAAATAGTTCAAAATTTTATTGGTCTTCAAAAAGCCTATTTGAGCCTATTTCAAAAACCGGCACGGTGGTGCAATGGTTCGCGCTTGTGCTTCAAAGCAAGAAGGTCCTTTCTGTGCGAAGTTTGCATGTTCTCCCAGTATCTGGATGGATGGATGGATGGACGTTTATTAAGCTAAACATTTCATTTCAATTTCCAAATATAGAGTCGTGTTGTACTTAATATCCACTTATCTTATATTGTGTCCCTCATACTGTTCTGTAACCTGTGATGCAACACTGAAATTTCCCCACTGTGGGACATATAAAGGACCTCTTGACTCTATTTAGTGCAAGTTCCACAAGGATCTATTCTTGGTCTGCTCCTCTTGCTATGTATGTCTAATAATCTGGTGTCTCTCTGGTGAATTGGCCAAAAAGACCAGACAGCACTTTGAACACTGTTTCTCCACTTGGAATTCAGTCCAATATAAATGATTGGATATAGCGGCTGGTTGAACTCTGCTCTAAAGATTATGGCACTGTCTCTGAGTCTATTTTCAGGATATTGTTTTTTGTGACAGTTTATAGGCTTACCAGTGTGTTTTATGATGTGCTACAGATTTGGCTCAGATAATGTTTTCTAAAGATAAATGGGAGGCTGTGGCTATGTCCATCACTACAGACATTTAAAACACAAACTTTCAATGTGTCATGGTGAAATACCTCACCAGTTAAGTCTTTCCTGTCTGTGTCATTCTTGGAGGAGACCAGTTCGACATTTCCATTTCTGAGGAAAAAATCTGGCCTCCAATAGTGGCCCACCTGATGAGGACACACATTCTTTCCTTTTCATCTATTTATGAACAGGTCCCATGCATGCGCACCCGGAGACACCAATGAATCATAGATATGTACTGTTTAACCTCCAACCGGAATGACTTTAGGCTACATGAATCGATACTAATGTAATAAAATGTTTTTGTAGATCTGAGGCAACAAACACACTAACAAAACATAAAGGACTTAGGTCGTCATCTAAGAAAAGATCTTTCTTCTTTTCTTTGACTGTCACTCGGGAAGGGCCCATTTAATGATATATGTTTATTCTCAATGGGTTGATTCTTGTTAAATACAGATAAAACATTTGCTCATATCCTTCCTCCAGATTGTTTCATTGTGAAATATTGTTAATTTATTTGTCAATTTTCCACAGTTTGACATAAAAGAATTCTACAAATCTATGTATATAAATCTAATATATGGTGGTATATTTAGCCAATCAGACATCTGAATACAATTGTAGCACACACACACACGCACACACACGCACACACGCACACACACACACATTCACACTACAGTACCTCAAACTTGTACAAAGTTGTCCAAAGATGTTCATTTCTGACACATATTACCAGTTGCAAAAACATGCTTTAGTCTTGTTATTTCAGTCTCGTGTTCCAGAGGGGAAACAGCAAAGTCATAACATTACAAAGTGTGAGCCATCAGAGAGAGAGGCCTGTGCCAATTCCAACCAATGGAAAGGACAAACACAGTGCAGGCATAACGGACCAGCTGCCAGAACTAATTATCAAGCACTATCATCATAATAGTTTTCATTTTCTTACCTTGTCTTTACTGTACTATTACTATTACTATTGTTTACTGTAATCTTTGTCTTTCCCTTTTCAAAATATTTCCCACTGCATGATTTCATTATGTGGCTGTACAGAAACGCCAGTGTTTATGCCATCTGTGTACATTGGATGGTGATCACAGCATTGAAGTAAAATCGCACATACCTTCAGTTTCTTTCACTTGTCGTGGAAATGAATAATTTTTTATTGTGAAACATTCCAGGAAAATGTGTTCATCTCTGTGGCAATAAATATGTGGCAGACCCCCCATAAGTAGCAGCAGCTGGTAGCATTATTGTTTTAATTCCTCAAAACACCAGCAGCTATGTTCAAAAGTTCCAGTGTATTCAAAACACTGCAGCTCGAGACTAAAACCAGGAAGTATCTTTGCGCTAGCTCTGGTGCACTAGTCTCTCCATGGTCTCGCTCCAAAGTAATCCCAGACATGTGTGTGCCGAACCAACTCGGACTCTGAGAAGCACAGGGACTGGCCTCCTGCTGGTGCCCAGAGTTAGAACTAAACGTGGGAAGCAGCATTTATGCAGCTAAAGTCTGGAGCAGTCTTTCTGAAAATGTGAGACAGGTTTTTTTTTTGACAATGTTCAAATCCAGGTTTAAAAAAAATGTTGTTTAGCTGTGCATACAACTGAAGGATTTATCAATACTCTTCTTAATGTGCTGTGATTATTTA